TTATTTTTTTATATTATTTTTTTTCCACATCATCACTTTTTGGTTATATTATCTTCCACGTGGACTATTATATGACATGTCATTTGGTAACCATGAAGTAACAGGCCACGTCACACAATTTTTAACGGAAGGACCAAATCGGGGTAAAAATGGTAAATAGTAAGGACCAAATCAGGGATTTTTTTAGTTTAGGGACCAAATCGGGAGTCCGTACAATAGTTCAGGGACCAAAAAGGGGTTTTAACCTTCGTGAAAATATGATATGGCATCATATTTTGTCCATATCAGCACATTTTTAAGTTATTTTCTCCACGTCATAAGAAAAATATAAAAAATGTCACGTGGACAGAGTTAACGCCTCAAATTGACGGAATAATCAAAATTATGTAACTCTTAGAGTTGTGGGATCAAAAAATGCAAAAAATAGTTTAGGGACCAAAAAAATGCAACTTTATAAAGTTGAGGGACCAAAATTAGTATTTAACCTAGATTTAATCCTAGATAAATAAAAAAAAAATGAGAGAGAGAGAAGGGAGAGAGAAGAAGTTACAAGTTATTTTCCCTCTTGTTGGTGTTACTTTTTTTAATTTCTATAGTTTTTATCTTTTTCTCTTATAATTTACAACAAGTCTATCATTTTGGACTTTAATGGTTAATACACTTTTTTTTCGTAAGCATTAGTACACTTTTTCTTGACATAATTACAAAAAAGATCTACAAAACTATACATAAAAACACAATTATTACTACAAGTTAAAATACTATATTTAGCTTTTTTAAAATTTTTAATTGATAACTCAAAATTCTGTTTAGTATGATTTTGATTTTCATAAAGTTTTTTATTCTAAACAAAAAATAATAATTTATTTTTATGTATTTTTGTAATATATTATCATAATTATTACTTTTTATTTTTAGTTTTGATTTTTAATAATTACAAAAGTTATAAAACCCAAAATTAAAAACTAAAAACCACAATTATACTAAACAAAAACTCAATTATTAAGGGGACTTGAAAAATATAATAAATAATTATATATGAAATCTAATAATTTTGTTTAAAATAAAAATTGATGAATAAATTGAAATAGCATTTTAGAAGGGGTAACCAATAAACTAAATTGAAATGGAAGCGTATAACAAATACCCACGAATAAATAGCTAATATCTTAGGTCACAAGATTTTTTCTTTTTTAAAAAATCCTTTTATTATTGATATATAAGTCACAACACGAGTAGCTTTCTCCTTTTTTTTTTTATCATTAATATAAATATAAAGCTACAAAATCATGTGACAAGTTATTATTATTATTTGGTATTGGATACCTTTGGTGGCTCTTTTATTATAGGAATAGGATTTATTATTGATATATAAGTCACAACAGGAGTAGCTTTCTCCTTCTTTTTTTTTATCATTAATATAAATATAAAGCTACAAAATCATGTGACAGGTTATTATTATTATTTGGTATTGGATACCTTTGGTGGCTCTTTTATTATAGGAATAGGATTTATTAAGTTTGGATTTATTAACAAAAGCTAGTTGTGTTAACCAACTAGAGGTGTGAGTTTGACGACGCCATTAGGCCCTGTACTGTCAACGTAAAGGTAAACACGATTACAGCAGAAATCATGGAACCCCTTCATGTTATCATCAATGATTTTGCAGGTCACGTATGGATTGTCCTTTTGAATCGTTACTTCGGCTTCTGACCATTTCTTTCCAACCAATTCCGGCCACTCGTACTTATATTCTAAAAACGATTTTAAAAAATATACATAATTAAACATATATATAGCATGTTTAGATGAGAATGAGACTACAGATGCCATGAAAATTGTTTTTTTTTTTTAATGAACTTAGCTAAAAAAATTAAAGATAAATGGAAATAATATAGAGATAATTTTTGTATATAATTTTTATATGTTATTAAATAAATATATACATATAATATTATAAATTTTAATAGAGTAAAAAAATTAATAATTTAAAGATAGTTTTTGTGT